TATATATATATATATATATATATATATATAAGCATGAGCGTTGCACCTCAGTTGGTTTTGTGTCTCTCCTTCTCTGCCATCATGCATGTGAGCCTAAGCCATTTCTTTTTTACCACCATTTTGTTGGTCGGTTGGGTCTGGGCTGACGAGATGACTGAGCAGTGAGTGGTTGAGGGAGTGAAGTGTGGGCCATGTAAATCATATGGGCTAGCAAGTCACTGGCAGACCATGCTCGAGTCTTAAGGGAGCTGGGACCCTTTTTAACAGGCTTGACCACATCTAATTTGGGTGCAGCCACACCAGCCTAATTGAGCACTCGCGACTTCAATAAGTGTGGCCACGCTAGCCCTAGCCATGACCATACCAACCAGACAGATTGTCCAACTTAATTACACTGGGGCGTGGGTGTGACCATGTCAGAACATCAAGCATACCCCGTGCATAATTCTCCCTAACCAGAATTACGACACCCCGCTTCTTATGGCACCACTTTGGAATCCTGCAGATGTGTCACACTGTGCCACTTGCAATGGGTCACGCTCCTTAGCTTCTGAGCCCACCTAGTGCATAGAGTTTGTTCACCTGCATACTTCATTTGTGTCACTTAGCATGGGTCATGCTTCATAGACCCTCAACCTATCTAGTGCATTTTGCTTCCTTCCTCAGGCCACCTAATATAGGTCATGCTTTATAGCCACTGAACCTATCTAGTGCATGTTGTTAGTACATCTTTGCATTTTACATTATGTCAATTGGCACGGGTCAAGCTTCCAAACCTTTGAACCCACTTAGTGTATGATGTATTTCCACTTGGGTATATGAATCTCAATTTGCTAGGGTCACACTCATTAGCCTTTAAATTCATTTGGTTCACGAGTCATATTATATTTCCTCCATGGTAGCACCCTACAATACCATGAGCACACTCTTTTCTATGGAGCATGTGTTTTTATGTGTTTGTGATCTAGCATTTGCATCTTTGCACTAAAGGCGTATTTGTCACTAGTATATGCCAACATAAACTTGTGATGAATATTTTCTATACGGTGTGCTTCCATCCTGATAGAAACAATGCAACATATCACTTTGCATTTGTATGTGCATTCCCTGATCATCTCAATGACAATTTGTACTCATTAGTTGAATGACCTGTCATTGGTCATATTGCATTAACAAGCATTGCTAGTGAGAAGTTTTAGTGACACGTGATTTATCTGCACCTTGCACACACTTGATGATGTAACTAGAACACCATGCAGTAGATGATTTACTAGGCTAGGATTAAGGTTCTTAGGTAGTTTTTTCTGATGCGCTGGCTATTGTTCGCTATTATTTTTTGCCCTATCAAGGCATTCATTTCTTGCTACCTTTATGTGTTTACTAGGGTGTAAAATGTGTGCACTAGTATATTAGGGGCATTTTTTGTGTAAGGAGCCATGTCCAACAAGGAGGAGCATTAATATGGTAAACTAATGCATTTTTCATAGGTGTTGGCTTAGCTCTCCTCCATCGGGCATAACCCACTACATTGCATGCCAATAACTTGTACTAACCCCATTGTTTTGCAGGTTAATTCTTTCTTTTTATACTTTTATCATGTATTTTTTAGAATCCCTAAGTTAGATTCCAGATCAGAAATAAGGTACAGACATGAGTTTCGAGACACTTGACAAGTGGAACCACTTGATGGGGATTAGGAGCTGTAGGCTCGTGTCCCGTACCTTAAATTTGATTTCTCTTTAATGTATAACATTAGGACCAATGGTGTACAAGTGGATGTTGGCCTCCTTTTTGTTTTTTTTTTGGGATATGTCGATGAACCAACGACAACCAAACTTTATATTCTTTTGTATTTTTATTGTTTACCTTTCTACATCATGCTTGTCATTTACTTTTTTTGTTATTAATGAATTGTTTAACAGTCATGCAAAAATACAGTTTCGACTCTATAAGAACTAAAATTATAAATTTTCTATAAAATTTCATGAAAAGAATAACAATAGTTAATATTTAGGTTTAAATCATCTCAACTTTTTTAAAATCTTCTTTTACTATCATGCATGGCCTTCAGGTCAGATTTAAAATAGTTTGCATTGCATTACTATCACTCAAGTCATACTAATAGGGCCTCCACATTATGACTTGTTATCTCACTGCATCATATTTGTTTGTCCTAAGGATAAGTCCCCATGCTTCTTCAACTTGTTTGGTCAAGCATAAGATTTATACTTAAGTAGTTGTCAAGCACGCTTAGAGTGTTAGAGGCTTCCCCGTCCTGAACTGGACTAAGTCCTTTATGAGAGTGTCTCGATTTTATTAGTCGTACCTCTCTTTTTTTCCAATCCAATAGCTTCCTTAACACTTTTACATGTATAATTCTCACTTCTAATTTCTACGTACAGAGGGTCATAGGATTTAGAGTTTACCACTCTTGACCTTAGGGCTATTGAGATTCCCTTTGACGATGTAATTCACAGATCGTTGACATGCAGCCTCTAGTCAAGTTGGGTTGACTACCTTCACAATCAGATAGACTTAGCATCCTAATAGCTTGGAATGATGGTCTATGGTATCTTGGACTGACTATGTGGTATCCTGACCCAACTATCTCTACACAATTAGGATTAATCTACCCTTCTTTTGCAACACCCACTTTGAGACATGTTGCTTCTTTGACATTTCATCGATGTTATCTAATAGACCTTGATTGTTGATAGGTTGTTGCCCATCCAAGATACAATGATTCACCTTGTACCCTTATGGCCCGATTAGGCCTAAAAGCATAATGCAGACCTCTACAAAATGATATGATTATTCTATAAGTCTTGTTTGTCGATGAGCCTTTACTCATTTGGGAATGTGAGAGAGCAACTCTCTGCCATGTGTTTTGTCAAGGCCTTTGAAGGTATCGAGATTCTCCTATGAGATAATCATCCTTTGTTACACCCTCTCACTACTTGAATGTAAGCAAGACTTCTTTAATCAAAGGTATTCTTAGGCTTCCCCCGAGATATAATTAACATAACAAGATATTTTCCTTTGGGAGTTCTCTTAAATCCAGACCAAACACACAAATTTGGTTCTCTGGTTGGGTATCTTATGTAGGTATGCTTTCATGGATATTTCATTTAAGGTGACTTAATCTAATCATATTTAGACATACACTCTTTACCTATCACACGAGGTGTACCTCTCATAAGCTCTTCTTGTTATTTCTTTAATTTGTCTACGTAGTCTCCATCTTATATCCCTCTTTTCTAATACCTCCTCTTCTCAAAATCTTTTCAACGATTCAAATAAGAGGGTTCTTTGGAAAGGGAATCTTAAGACGATGATTAGATAGGCTAGCGACTTCAACTTTACAAAAAGAACCTAAACAATTATTATGTTGGTTGGTCGATCATGAGGGTGGAACCATCTAGGGTCCAAAGGATATTTACATCCCCTCAAATTCAGATATTTTATATGAGAGGGAAATTTAACTTTTTGTCCCTACTGAATTATCAATTTTTCCCCTGTTGAAATATCATTTTGCCCTTCATTGCCCTAGCCCCTCTTGGGCAGTTGCCCCCCCCCCCCCCCCCCACCACGCCGGGCCTCGTGCCTTTGGGCGATCATATAAAATCTTTCTACAAAATTGAACTAAAATTTATTCAAAAGATGTATATACCTCATCATATTAAAAAAAAACAACTACAAACATCTTGAACTATCATGCACTTGAATAAGGATCTTCTATCAGAAGATGTAAGAAGTATATACTTGCTAATATTTTCTTTGATCATAAACACCCCTTGTATCAAGGAATTGAACCTACAAAATATGTTACTTTTTAGTGCAACATAGTTTGAAAGAATAAAATTTATTTTAACTGCTTATGTGCCCCCCTTAAAGTCAATGAAAATGCATGAATACTCTAGGGCAATGTGGATGGGATGATGGTAGAGGGTTGAAGCTGGGTTCTTCATAACTATGTGGGGAAGAATAGATGGTTCAATGTGTGTTTAGGGCTAGTATGACGAGTGAGGATAAAAGGGTGGTATGTTAAAGATTTGGCAATGTGTATGAGGAGGGGCAACAAATAATGCACCTTACAGTGTGATCTAAATCATGATGGTGGAGATGGTGGTAGTGGTGCCTGTCAACCTATTAGGCCTGGTAGTAAGTTTTTGCTTTCTAATAAAGATGGAAGAGAGAGGGGATAATGATTACCTTCTAAAGGCATTAATAATAAAATTAAATAACTGCTTAGTTTAAATAAATATTCTAATTGATATATAATAAATTAAATTAAACAATAAATAAAAAATATATATCGAATAACATTTACAATTCATGACATACATATCAATCAATTTATCATCAAAGTTAGTCTGAGTTGTATCTAAGTTGTCTTTCTCATCATTCGTGTACTCTTTCTCAATAGTATTATGCTCTTGACAATGACCTTAGCATCTTATAAATTGCCTAATGGCTCTACAACATCAAATGGAAATTGAAACTCTATAATTTTATCTTCTTAATGAGCAATATCACTTAGATTTCTAATGTTAATTACAACACTTGATTTTTTTTAATTAATATGCCAATCCAATCTATGCCTTAATTTGTGAGGTAACTTCACATACTATACTTTGCATTCCTTTTATGCTTAAATAAAAAGATCAAACTTAACATATATTAGATTTTTTCTTATCTCAATGATTCTATATAACTTATTCACCATTTTGTGGTGAGTTAGAATAAGATAAAATTAGTCACATTTAACCTAGCCAACAAAACATGATACTTTGGGATGATGTGGCCATAAGATGTTGTTTGGGTTCATCATCATTCCCCTCATCATCCATATTCAAATCACAATAATAAATTTCTACAATCTATAACTATATTATTAATACTATCCACAGAGTGATAAACACCCTAATAACTAATTTCATATGCTATTTAATTTTCAAACACCACATTATATATTAATTTCATATGCTATTTAATTTTACCTGTTTTGGTATTCCATTGATTTACATAATAAGAGATTCAAATAATAAATGAATCATCTAGTTTGAATGTGAAGGTGTGGAGAGTTTTCATATGTCCTTTGAGATACTGGATTCATATAATTATGATGATTCATACTAGAACTCATAGGGGTGTATGATGGGAATAATCAATATTCACATTGCTAAAGCCCAGGATGGTAGAGCATCCCTTTTGGTTGAAATAGAAAGTTAGAAATTATTCAGACTAGTTTAATTGATAAAAAAAACTTTTGTATTTGAAAATGTCATATTAGTTGATAGTTTACATCATAGTTTACTTATTATCAACTAAATATGAAGTGAGAGCTTTATTTATATATTATTTTGCATCACATTATCTCATTAAATTTAATTTTACTATTATGTTTATTAAAAATATGCATAATATTATTTATTACTAGATATTAATATAATTAAAGAAAATGATAAAAATTATTAAAAAGCTTTATTATTTTTTTATGATATAAAAAATGATGTCATACACTATGCACATTCTAAAAAAATTATATAGAAATGATTTTGCAATTTCTTTATCTAAAATTGATTAAACTATATATAATTTTTTAGATTTATATTATAGGAATATAAATGTAAACATCTTTTCAAATAAAAATATATTAACTACCTCAAGGATATTAATTCATTTTAATATATATTTTTTTGTCCCTCTTAGTAAACGTACTCTGAGTGATAAGAAGTATAATTTCATGATTAAGACTGTTCTTGCATTACTAGGATTTTATTCTTGTTAGAAAAGTCAATACTTTTAATGACTTTCTTAGGTTTGTTAGTTGGGTAAAGAGTTAGAAATGTAATCTAATTTTATCTATTATAAGCAATAATAAAAAAGATTCTAATAATTATTTATTAAAGAATTTTTGTCCTTATTAATAGATTAAACAATTTCTCAATTAATAGGGCCCTTAAGTAGAATTGGATTTTAGAAGTGAAGAATACAACCTTAATATAAATGGCTAAATCAATGCTTAATGTCTATAAACTTCAAAGTATTTTTTAGATAATCATGGTTAATTCTCTTATTATTTAATAATTTGAGCGAACACAAAATCAACTTTATTACAAAAATCATTATATAAACTTTGGAGAATTAACACTTTTTCATCTCTTTTGATGCAAATATTTTGTCATGAATAATGGAAAAAGGATCCTAGAAAATTTTTATTATTAGTTTGATGAAGAAATTAGATGAGAGAAATTTTCTTGGATATACTAGTTATAGTGAAGATTTTAAATATTTTAATAAAAAGGTGATGTGCGTAGAGGATTTTATGGCTTCTGATTAATTTTTTTAATAATCTATTAGTTCTAATAGATTAGATTATAATATTAAAATAATTATCAATTAAACTTGGAAGAGCATTTAATTTTAGTACTTCATTTATGGCTTATGATTAATTTTTTTTATAATCTATTAATTCTAATATATTAGATTATAATATTAAAATAATTATAAATTAAACTTGGAAGAGCATTTAATTTTAGTACTTCATATATGTCTATTGAATGGAAGTTTGTAATGAGCCATTCAAAAGATTCGATTATATGAGGCCCATTTTGACAAATAAAATGAGTTTTCACCTTCAAAACAAGATTGATCATTATGGTTTCATTCAAGCTAGAATTATAAGATACAGAAGCAAACTTGGAGGAAGTTATTTTTGGGTCATTATTAAACAAGAAGAGTCAGGTCAATTCACTATAAATAATATTTGAAAATTGGTCCTTACACTTTTTAATTATAATTTTATTGAAATAAAATAATACTTTAAATATAAATTAAATAATTCATGAATCATGGTTAGCAATAACACCAGCCTCATAACATGGATTTAGTCATGCGTAATGGACTAATTTGGAGGAGCCTCGTTCCCCTATGGTTTAGTTGAAAGATATGATTGTTGCTTACATACTTTTCTAAGAATATTTGGCTCTATCAAATAGATCTAAAAGACATATATTTCTATATATGCTTATTGAATGAGATAATTTACAGTGCAATCCATTAGGCTGAAAATAGTAGTAATATTAAGCAATCACATAATTTGAAATAAATCATTATAAATTGTGAGACTAACAATGTGGGCTTGGAATGATATGTTAAGTAGTTTTGTTGCATGCGGGTTTGGTAGAAAAAAAACCGTTCATTGCACAAATTTGTTTCTTTGCCTTATTCTATAAGTTTGCAAAGGCAAAGAATAAAACATTCATGATGGAAAAATGAAAATTTTTTCCTTTGGCTTCATGTGAAGCTAAAGGAAGGTTTCATCTTTATTTCTCATGCTAGAAACATAAATAACATTTTATTAAATTTTACTATGATTGGATATAAATCTACAAGAAATCATCTAAGAACCTAACCAAGTCTTGAAAAATTCACGAAAGTAAATTTATAGACTTTTAGTTTAACAAAAGAGGAATAAATCTTTGTCTTATCCTACTTTATGTTGTGTTGATATCAAGCTTGAGATGCAATGAAGCATATATTATGTTGCATTAGGATTTTGTTAGATGCAATAAAGCATATATTAAGGTTTATATAGTAAGGACACTTGGATTAGGATTTTGGTAACTTAAATATATTCATTCTTGTAATTATATCAATTTCTTCGATATAATTTTTACAGCAAGCAAGTTTGATTGGCACACTATGAACTTTGACA